GGGTGTTTTCTTGGCTCTATGCTTGATCAGTTATTGGCAAGAGCAAAGCGCAATCCGAGTAAGTTACCCGCCATTTGGGTGAAATTTTCCTCCAGTTCTTTGAAGACTTCCCATTACATCCCATAGATTATCCGAAAACTACCATCCAAACCAGAACACCTAAAATTCCCCCAAAAAACTTACCCGAACTTCGCCAATCTTTCAACAAACTGCCCGAACTTCCCCCCAAACTCTTCCCAAATCTATCCCAGCCAGCCAGCCGTTTCCCAAGTTTCCAGCTGCCCTGATTACAGGAAGTTCGTGGCTTCAAATCGATCATACCCACATCTTGTGTGGTGATACGTTCAGGGCGTCGGCAACGCGTCAACGCCACTGGTATTGTAGTGGGTGATGTAGTCTGTATAAGGTTGGTACAAAAAAACCACCGCACTCTCACTTAAACCTCTTGTTGTTGTGGTATTTTTTTACCAGAAAAAACCAGAAAATTTTGTCATTTGTGAGAGGAACTTAAACTTCTCAAATAAAACCTATCATTTCACAACAGCTCCGGCGCCCGAGTCCCAGCGGATCTTCGCCTGATCTATACGAACTCTTTGTATTTGGAGACGTCCTGGATCAGCGGTTTAGCTGATCCGTTGGAATTTTCACATCATTGTGTGCCGAAAAACGTGAGCCCACTATCGGCGCAGAATATCGCCTTCAATGGNTTCGCGTTAGATGAATCGCGTAAAGTGAATTCAGTCAGTCAGTTCAATGCCCTAAAATCATAATGCAGGTACTATAAACTAATTTTAATTTCAGGTTATCGGTAAACTGATGGAAATCACCACCCAGGAGCAGGTGAAAAAGACCCGACTGGAGTTGGAGCACAAGCGTTTTGTGACGTTTATAATTGTGTTGGCGTTCGTGTTGGCCACGGTGACCTTCCTGCTTGGCTTCATTATGAATCACTTCCAGCATTTTTTGACGATTTTTATCAACGGGTTTCTGGTGATCTGCGTAGCGAATGTACCACAAGGTGCGTCCGGTTTGGAGACTTTTCCGGTTTCTCCGGTTCCGTGCTCAGTTTTTTTCATTTTCCATTTTTCATTTTTCATTTTTCATTTTCCATTTGTCCATTTTTCCCTTTCAGGTCTACCGATCACGTTGGGTGCAGCGCTGATCATTGTTTCGAGACGTTTAGCTAAAAAAGGTCTTTACATGAAGCGGCTGGACGTGGTGGAGACGCTGGGCACGGCCACGGTGTTGATGACCGATAAACGTGGTGTGTTGACGTCGAATGATATCACGGTGACGGATGTGT